CCCCAAAACCCCAAAACCCCAAAACCCCAAAACCCCAAAACCCCGAGTGTTTTTAATTTCATTGAAAAGCTTCACTAGATCATATACCTTGCTTAAATATGTTAATAATAGAGTGACTACATCATAGTGGGCAGAGTCAGGTCACCATGCTATACTGGCCAAGACATAATCTTATGGTGTCCATGAATTAAGCCTCACAAATATTGTGACATGTCTTCTTATGTACTTTTAAGTTGAACTTGGTGGAGTACTTCTTGTAGCAAATCTCGCATTGGTAATTCTTTTTATTAGCCCTGCTTGTACCTCTATGGATCCTCATATGCCTCTTAAGGTTTTCTTTCAAAGCAAACCTCTCTAAGCACATGGTACACTTGAAGGGCTTTTTAAGAGTATGTATATTAGCATGTTTGATAAAATTATTTTGCTGACTAAATTCCCTCCCTCAATTCATATAACAACACATGAAGATCTTTTTATTCTGACCAGTAGCTTCATCAGTGATAGTAGTAACCTCATGAGGGAACTGATTCACTCTATCCATATTTTCTGACAAAGGACTTTCATCAGAACTATCAAAATGATTTTTCATTTCTGTTGGGGCTGAAGGAAGATCTGAGCAGCAGGAAAGCCTTTAAGTCAACTCATCAAGAGCAAACCCCTGATTCTCTTTTAATGGCTTAATAGGGTCTGGAGTATTTTTGTTTTGGAAAGGATTCCAATGAGGAACTAGTCTTCCAAACTTTGTTGCCTTTTAGTAATCACAATTTCCAAATCAGACTTATGAACCATGCCATACTTCATTGATGAAACTGTCATAGCCAGGAAATTCAATCAGGAATCCCTAATCGGTGCTTTGAGAGCCAGTGTCAAAGGATTTAGCCGTATGAAAATTATATCCTCGTTAATATCAATCTGAGTGATAATGCTTGTGTGGTTATTAATTTTTCTTATGTTTGTATTTGTAATAATAATAGCAATAGATTATTATTTATTCTATTTCAGTAACTTCGGACAAAAGAACTCTGAGTTATCAATCAAGTCGGAAGAGGATGTCAGGGGCATGCTTACATCTTTCAAAATATAGTGAAAATATGGCAATAATTCAAGAACTTGTATTCATCAAGGGTAATCTCCCTCCGATAACATCTAGCATGCACTAATGCAGGTGTTGGCTCTGAAGAATTTGAGGAGAGTAAATCCACACGTAGGTTTTGCACACATCTTTAGGAACAAGCTTCTTCCCTGATCGTGAGAAGACCCAGCAACAAGGCACTGACTGGACTGAGCTCTCACAGTTATTCAATAAGGGAGATCTTGAGGAAAGCGATTTTAGACGTTTTGAAAAGTTGGCTTCCCCTATTTCTCACCTGATTCTGAAGAATTTATGCCAAAATTTGTATCAGAAAATGACATTGAGGCTAAAAATAAGGAAGAACCTACCAAACCACCACCGGAAATGACAGATGAATTTAGGCTAAACTATTTATAGAGTTTGACATGCTTGGCCAAATTTCTAAAACTGTGGAGCAAAAGGATATTATACCTTAATATTTTATCTTTAGAAGTTATGAGTCACCAGGACGAGTCTGGTCAGATCGATAAACCTGAAGAAAAGAATGGAAATCTTGATTATAGTAATATCGCTAATCTTTATCAAATTTAGCACATAAACACTACTCTTCTGATCTTCCAGTCTTAAAGAAAATTGATTTCCACGATAAAAATCACATCTCAAAATTTGAGGTTAAAAATGCTAGGAATTTGACTGAATACTTCCGACAGACTGCGACTAAGCTGCAAGTAATGCTTGAAGAGTACACTCCTGCAGATTTTAATAAAGTGAAATTTTATCGCCTGAATGGGGACTAGATTTTGAGTAAGTTTATCTCTAATATGCAGCCTTTAAGACAAGTCAAAATTTTGCCCAAAATGCTCGGATTAAGAAAGTTATTAAATCATTTGTGCATTTGTACAAGTCTAAAAGCTTAACTCTGTAATGTTCTTGAGCATATCTTTATAATCTAAAGTCTCCATCTACGCAAAACTTTATCTTCTTCTTTCAGTCTCTACTTATCATGATCTCTACCAATTTCCAAAGCCAAATTCATAACTTCACCCTCATCTCCCGGTAAATCATAATAAAATGACTAATAAATACCATTGTACATATTACTGATCTTCAAGGTCTTCCTTCGAAACTCTCAGTCAGGCTGATGTCTCAAAAACCCTTTTTACTGTGGGATTTAAGCTTAATGAACGCTGATAAGTAGCGAATACAAGGGTTAAAGGATGCATACTTAGAAGTAGAGCGTTGGGCAGGTGCTGGCAAGAATTCCTTAACAATACATGGAGGATTTGACATCTTTCTTATCATTTTTTGTGTATAAAATATTAGCACAAATTATAAGATTTTAAAATCCATCCTAAATACCTTAAAAGGGGTTTTGGGGTTTTGGGGTTTTGGGGTTTTGGGGTTTTGGGGTTTTGGGG